TAAACTAACAGTATAATAATACAGTACCATGCACAAAATATACTTCAAGACACAGTCTATAAACAGCAGAACATTGCATTCTGCAGAAGGATCTCACCAATGCAACACCTAACATGAGAATGGATTTCAGAGTCCCTCGTCTTAACAGTCATGGGATTAACCAACTACAACAGGGGAGCTTATGATATGAAAAAATAAAAGCATGAAAATCATTTTTCACTTGTTCTTAGTTCACTTATAATACATGTCCTTAAAACAGTGTTCAGTTCCTCCTAGTTCACGTTCTCTTTGCTCACTATCTTTGCACTACAATCAGTTACGAATTTCCAAATCTACAGACAATTCTGAACACTAGCAATTAATAAAAGCCAGAACATTATGACTGTCTGGCAGACTTAAAAAATAAAAATAAAGATCTTATGGAACAGAATCTTTGAGTTAACAATATCTACAATAAGAGGTAGTTAGTCATAATACTGAAAAAAACCCAGATTTGTGTAGAAATGCTATTTTTTGCCCAGATCGATTGCTGCATAAAAGATTCATGAAACCTTGTTTCAAACTGCAAAACTGGTGAGTTTTTCCTTTTATTTTGTTTTTTAATCACTCTGATGACATGCAGTGTTTATGACTGAGTTTTATGCACTGACCTGTATGTGTGGCTTCATTTGCTTCCATGTTACAGAGTGAATAACCCCTTGGTTCAGATAATTTAACGTTTGCTGAAGAACACGTGGCGCAACATAGTCTTTTTGCCTGTACTGGTCTAAGATTCTTAAGAGAACCTAAAGAAATGACAAATTGATATTTTTAAATGAAGACTGAAAATTCTTACTCATGCATAGACATGCAGTGCACCTCTTCAGTGAATGTACGTGGACAGATTCATTACTTCTACAGCAGGGGTTCTAGTGTTAGTAATCACTGTAATACCTTTGATCCTAAAATCAGAAATCATTTAAATATTAAGGATCTAATCCTGCAAGCATTTATGTACATGCTTACCTTTACTACTAGCCCCACCGTGTGATCACTTGTGATTGTAAACCAAAGATATACTTCAGTATTCACAGGCTCACAGTTTACACAGGCCTCAGCAAAATTTGGAATAGGTAAGGAAAAGGCACAGTGAGATTTTCAAACTGGTTGGCTTCTAAATCTGTTAGTGGTGTCTGTGTTCATTTTTTAAGGACAGGCCCATAAAGAAGAGAAATTACTTTGAAAGAACAGAGATAAGAATAGAATAAGCTAGAAAAGAAAAATAGGTTAGCACCTAAATCTCTGAATCAGAAGAGATGCAAAACCCTGAACTTCAATATCTGTTGGAATCATCAGATAGCATCACCTAGCATGCTATCACAAACTCTATCACACAATGCTTCCTTCATATAAAGGCTTGCTCTACCAAGAAAAACCTACAGTACAAAGCACTGATCTGCACTAATGGCAGATAACTAGTAATAAGTGTAAAGAATTGGCATGTATGTGAATAACAATAACAGTCAAGGGCAGTGCATAACAAAATATTGAGTCATACATTTTCAGAAGGACAGTTCTGCTTCATAATTCTCACAACACTATAATAAATCTTATTTTAAACATAAGTCCTTCCTTAGGAGTACTAAGCCTGATCCTAAGTCTTTTATACAATATGCTCCTTGGGGAAGAATTGCCTATACCTCATACAGACTCTAGCACGATGTCAGCACTTAACAACTGATGAATAAGTAATGAACGCTTAGTAATGTAATATTCACAATAGAGTTCTTACTAACTTTGCAAGGAAATGTGACAAATCAGCATTTAAGAGCCAGAAACAGAAGAAATGTGCAGATTGTCCAGTCCATTTATCTTGAAAGCGAAACTGCTCCCTCTACTACATAGCCTAATCTCTTAACAGACAAATTTTAAGTACTTCAAATGACAACTGCCCAGGGAAGTCTATTTTTTCACTCAGCAGTTAAACATTGCAAGGAGTTTAGAATAGATATTAGACTGTTTTCCTTTTCGTTTAATGCTTACAGCCTTACAAGAACCATTCCTCTCTTTAGTTCTTAAGATTTACATATTTACACAGAATTAATGTGCTGACAGATAAACTACTCTGTTGTCAAACTGGGTGGAGAAAAGTAATTTTGTTTTGCAGCCAATCCTGCTATTTTGAAATCTAGTTTAAATTTGACATCAAGTGACAACAACAGCCTGGCACCCTGCATCCAAGACACAGGAAATTTAAACTGTAAGAAGCCTGCAGATGCCATGTCAGGGGTATTTCATCTGGCAGCATGCTGAGGAGCATGTGTATTCTGGAAATACACATTATCCAAACAGTTTTCACTTGAAAAACAGCATTCCAAGGTGTTTTTCAAGGTTTACAGGCCAAAGGGAATCGAGAGCCCAGAATCACGAGCAGGAGAGTGTACTACGTTCTCCTGGCTTCTTAGGAGCCTGTTTGGAATGTGTAACCTGAAAGACTGGACACCCAAGAGCTTTAGCTGAGCCAAAAGCCAGGGAACTACCACTCCCAGTCATCAAGTATATGGCAGGCTGAATGAGAAACAGGAGGAGCTGTGCCGAAAACATCCCAGTCTGGGAGCCAGCATTCTCCGGGCTTTCAGGCACCCAAATGCTATAGCCATTCCACCAAACCAGGGAGATGCTGGAAGCCCACCTGCCCAGGGACCCACAGTTGAGCTAGCAGAAAAACACAGAAAATTCTTGACAGGAACTGCCTCTCTTCTATGCAACTTTATCAGAACTGAACTGTCCCCACACCACCATGTTAATAACAAATAATTAGCATTCCCCAAGAAAAATAATTTCCTTGCAAACTGTGAATTTATGCTCTATTTTCATAAAATATGCTTTCCAGGTACAAAATAACTTTTATTGCTGTTCTCCAGACACCTTCTAATCTGCTTGTATCTTCCTGAAATAAACCAGTATCATTGGATTACTGTGCCTAAGTTGTTCACAGCAAAAGTAGTCACTAAAGACTGGCCTGAAAATACACCCTTCTATGACATGAGGCTCCTACATCAATAGTTTTTTCTCTCAGCTATATCTAGAATGTTTATACATGATGATAATAACATTTTATCAGCACTCACCTTTTCTGAGAATTTTCCTGCAGGGTTTTTTTGAATTGCTGAAAATCTGTATTGTTATAAACACAAGAACTTCTGAATCGCTAAAAGGAAAACCTGCCAGACTCTGTTCATTTTTGTTTAATGAAAGAACTTCGATATGAGCACACTGTTGAAAAGCAATATATTTGTTCAGCCAAAATGATCTAACTCAGAAACAAATGAATGTACTTACCTGTTGTATGCCCACAGCGTAGGTTTTTAAAAAAAACTCTGAAAATTCAAAGTATTCTTTAGTTACATTTCCAGGACTTCCATACCTTTAAAAAGAAGAGGACACAGATATTTACATTGTGAGAAGTCTACTGTGTCAGGAAACACAGTACTTTCTAAAACACAAAGGACTCTGAGTAATCTTCCATCCCCAAAGGAATCCTCTCCCACAGGTTCCTTCTAAGCCATTATTTCCCACATAATGCCCCATTTCCCTTTTCTTTTCTTAGATTCTTATAAGGTACAATACTACAGTCAAGTAAATATAGCCACCTTTTTGTCACAAGCTATGTAACTTCCATGTTTATGATTTCCTTTCAAATCTTCCCCTGCCTTTATACTTGAGAATATAAGCACTTGTAGCTGGATGCTACAAGTAAAAAAAATATAAAATAAAAAAAAAAAGTACTTTTCCTGTGGGGCTAGTTTCTTGCCATTTTAGAGAGTCAAATCATTTCACTAAGAGCTCAGACCGGTAGCTGTGACTTTGCAAGGCAGAGGACAGCAGCAG